TCGGCTGAAGGGAAGTGAGAAAAACAAATGAGTTTAAACTGTAACTTACATTAACTGGTATATGGCCAATTAAGTTTCTAATATCTTTAGTTTTGCTACCTCTTCTAAATGCAAAATGTACTTCTTCCTCCTTGAAACGTCGTACAAGTCAGATACAAAACAAAGGTAACAAAAAACAGGCCGGAAACAACCTGCCGTATAGTTTGTCTGCACTTGTAGTCAGGTCAAGGTCCTCGGCTATCGCCTCGGACCTTGACCTGACTACTCGTGCAGAAAAACTATCCGGCAACGGTTGTTACCGGCCTGTTTCTTTGTTACCTTTGTATTGTATCTAATACTTAATTTCTCACACTTTTCTTATCATTTCAAGTTGAAATCTTTCAGAGTTTTATCTTCGACGAGTTTTTGATTTGGCTAAGTTAGCTACATGTATTTGGAAAATACCCCGTGTTTACTTAATACTTTGTCATATATCACGGAGATCCGTTACATATGTTCCTTTAGAAATAAACATAATTATAAAATGATTAATTAAAACGAATATGAAAATAAATCAAAAATACTCGAAACTGTAACATATTTTGAAAAGTTTTAATTCTAAAAAATCGCATTGATAATGGATTGTTACTTGATTACTCAACGACCGAAATCATAAAGTCTCGCAGCATGCATGGAGGTTTACATCTACTGTGTCAAATAAAAGATACACACACGTATTCCTCATTATTAACTTAAACACAAAGTAGACTTATAAGTCCATCTTTTTTAAGATGCCATAGTAAAAACAAATGTCTTGCTTTAGGAACGGACAAATCATATTTTAAAAAACTCTTAATTCGACAAAAATGTTGAAACTGTGAAACTGACATGATGTTTGATTTTTTTTTTATTGACCAAATGTTTTTTTATTATTATGTTAGGTTGGCGTTTTATTTTCAACTGAGACCATATGCAATCCCATCAGAAATAATTATGGTTCTCTTTTCACCGACTTGTCCCTTTTTTTAACCAAGCTAATGTTTAAAGCTATTGATTTAAAGTACATTGGAAAATTCCATTATTGTATGACAAATATTCTACAAATCATGATTTTGCATGGACAAGACTTTTGTGCGAGTGTGTGGCTAGTTAATTATCATATCCAGTATAAAAGTTATCCCAAGCAATGGAGTATAACATATATGTCAATCTATGGACTTCTTCCATCTGGCAGTAAATGGGTATTCTTTATAGCTTGCTGTTCGGTGTAAGCCAAGGCTCCGTGTTGAAGGCCGTACTTTGACCTATATTTTTTCATTTTACAAATTTTGACTTGGATATAGGGTTGTCTCATTGGCACTCATACCACATCTTCTTATATATATTCGCTTCATTGTGCTGAATATATAAACACGCAGCCACGTCCGATGCCACATCTCCTTTATGTTAGCATATATATACCCTTGCAACAACTCTTTCAGGGGTTTGATGGCAAAAAAATTCCACTTATTGAATTATTGTTGATTTGTTCTCGTTCCGAATATGCATGAACTATTTTTCACTCGACGCCAAGCAAATCCGTCAATCATATCTGCGCATGATATAAAATTAATCTTTTGCACCTTAAGATGCCGAAAACTTTGCAGTAGAATGTAAAAAATTTCTCATTTGTATTTCAAGGCGCATTCACACTAAAATTGTTCATTCTTTTTTATGTCTCAACCCTTCATGGAAAGCTTGTATTAATTCAACGGACAACCGACTGAATAAATCAATAACAACATTAAAATGTTCTATCACGCTTAACATGATCTTTCAAAGAATGTGCAATGGGTACGCTGAAGGTTAGAAAAAGAGTTGAATTCAAACGGTATTGAATAAAGACCACGAGCTAGTGTTTGTCATAGAATGTGGACATACTGAGTGTTTTAAATCAAGAAAATAGTTAGAGGACACGGTGGTACTATCTGGATGCACAAACGGGAAAAGTTACCCGAGATGTTGAGATTTTGAAATATGAAGGAATTTAGCCTAAATAAAAAAAGAGTGTTTAAACAATCTCTGCAATTCTTTAGTCATGACATAGTCTTTCGAATCAACTTGTACTTATTATATCTGCTAAAATGTAAAATGAAATTAGAAAAAAAACTTTTCCAAATGAAAAACTTTGGGATACGAAACCATATCGTGTAATATCGAAATATCATTAAGTAATGACTATTCAATATTGATCGAGTTATATCAAAACATTATTACGTAATGTCAAAACCATATAAAGTAAAGACAAAATATCATCAAGAAATAATAAAATAACATAAAGTAATATCAGAGTTCCACATAAGACAGCTGAGGCGTTCCATACAAATTACTAGTAATTATTATTACTTGTCACTCGCATTTTTTTTCTCGACCTAGCCATTATTGGCATTAACAGCCAGTGCACGAACTCGCACGAACTCCAAATTTAGTTAGAGGGCGATATTCCGACGCGTTTTTTTTTAATTCTTGGTCACTCATGTTTAGAAAGAAAGGGGAGAAATCCAAACAATTAACGACCAATCACAAATGTTGTTGCAAATATGATCTGGTGACGTCAAAGAATTTCCCATAATGCAATTATTGCATATAAATAAAAAAAACTACTATACCAAATGAATAAAAAATATTGCATTAAAATGACAAGTTATACCATTTGAATAAAAAATATTGCATTTAAATGAAGAAATATACCATATAAATAAAAAAAATATTGCATTTAAATGAAAAAATATTGCATTTAAATGAAGAAATATTGCATTTAAATGAAGAAATATACCAACTAAATAAAAAATATAGCATTTAAATGAAAAATTTCAAATTTTTGCAACCAATACCATTCCATAGATAACATTGATTTTGTTACTTTGTAAACTAGTAACTAAAGACATGCGCCGTACTGGCGTCTCGAGACAGGCATATTATTTTAAAAAAGGTAGCTTTCTTTCTAATCGGATTAAAGACGTTTATAAAATTTCTACGGCTAGGTGCAATTTATTTATGTTTTTTTTTATATTAAAAAAAAATATTTCAAAATGTTTCATATCTTAAAAATAGTTAGAACTTCTACAAATATATGATACGAAGAATCCATGACAACTCGCCCCACTGGCAAATCGCCCCACACTAAATCGCCCCACTTTTTCACCAACTCGCCCCACTCTTGTTTACGAACTCGTCCCACTTATGAAAAAGGGTAAAATCCCATTGAAAATAGGTCTGACATCTCGCCCCACTTATTAAAAGGGTTGAAATACTGCTGAATAAAGGTCGGCCAACTCGCCCCACTTATGAATAGGAGTTTAATCCCATGTATTAAAGGTCTGCCAACTCGCACCACGAATGAATAAAAAGAATTAAACTGTACTTAATTAAGGCTTACCAAATCGCCCCACTTATGAATTAAATGAATACTGATGAAAACCTTAGAAATGCATCTTTTTTGTTTTATTAACTTTTTTCTTTTGGTTGAAAGAAAGTAGAAAGAAGTAAGTATCAGCATTTCTGTGAAGTACGATGTTATTGACTATTGGAACTGTTTATGACGTTTGTTTTCTGGTAAATATATAAATCACTGTTTTACAATAAGTCAAGGATCATAGTTATTTACATAATTTTATTGTTAGATGATAGGTTTGTACAATAATAAAATTGAGAATGGAAATAGGGAATGTGGATTTTATTCACCCTCTATGGTCCGTAGGGGGTCAGTAGTTAACCGTATAACGAATTTATAGCCCGCGAGACTCTTTTCCGCTGTGTTTTGTAGAGAAATAAACAATTAAACACAACAAAATTAATAGATGACGTCACTATTAACAGTAGACGTGACGTCATGAACCCCCTATGAAATTTACTAACCCCTACGGATCCATAGGGGGTCACCACGTGACGGAGTTAAACCAATCACAACGTGATAATTTACCGGCGGTGCGATAAGAATAAATATGGTGCTTGAACTTGATGGCAAAATGTAGGTCCGATGATGTCACTTAGTTACTCACTAATGGATATTGAAACAATATGATACTACCAAAGGCTATCCAGATTGGGAAGTAAAAATGCTATACCAAATATACATGTTACTAGCTATAGTATAAATGTATCTTAGCGCAAACTAAAATGAACACAGAGACACTGCCGGACTCTCATTTTCAATGAATGGTTAGACTAGAGTGGATTCATTAGAACCATTTTAAGCGGATTTCTCATGGCGTAATCGTCAATTATTTTATCATAATCGAGTTTAATGTCTCTGTGATTCCGAATATATTCAATAGCAGATTACGATAGTTTTTGTTGTTGTTTTTTTTTTTTTGAAAAGTGTGGGGGGGGGGGGGGCGTACGCCCATTACGCCCTTACCTGGACCCGCCCCTGATAACTACACAAAACGAAGTACTAGATGAAATGTCAACACTAGAAACAAGAACATAAATACACATAATGGCATACAATAGATAAGTTTTTATAAGTGGCAGACCTTTATTATATATTTATCGGGATTTTACCCATTTCCATAAGTGGGGCAAGTTGGCAGGAGCAATTTTAACGGGACCTAACCTTTTTTTCATAAGTGGGGCGAGTTGGTAAACAAGAGTAGGGCAATTTTTTTAAAAGTGGGGCGAGTTTGTGAAAAAGTGGGGCGATTTGGTTGTGGGGCGATTTGCCAGTAAGGCGAGTTGTCTTGTTTCCGATACGAAATATGTATAAAGTCCATGAGGTACGAAATGGTACCGTAAATATATGAATTTGATTGATATGGTACGAAATGGTTTTTATCGTGGGTACAAAATGGTTTTTATCGTGGGTACAAAATGGTAAATCCTAGGTACGAAATGGAAATTTTGGGTACAAAATGGCAGAGGTACGAAATATCTAAGGTACGAAACTACTTGCTACCGGTGGTGCTCCTGCCAGAGGCAGACCTTACAGATTAGGTAGCGGACATGTACAAAGAATGATAACGTTGGTCTCATTCCCTCGACCTATATTTGCCCTGTAAAAAGTAAAATCACAAAAATACTGAACTAGACCAAGTAAGTTAAAGATTAATGATTTATCTTATTTTTTATAAACCGGAGTGAAAAAATGTATTGGTACACGTAAAACTGTGTATAACGTGAAAACTAAGAAACTAATATCCACTTGTATAGACTTACATTTGCTATTTTGAGACCGTAAATATGACACGGGTTATGTTCTTCTCATATATTTTATGATGGTATAATACTAAACCCCTAACAGGAGGGATTGTGCCTGATATTCATATGATGAAGACATAATCCTTCAATCAGTTAAATTGAGGTCTGGAGCTGGCATGTCAGTAACTGCTAGTAGTCTGTTCTTATTTATGTATTATTGTCATTTTGTTTATTTTCTTTTGTTTCCTATTCTGACATCAGACTCAGACTTCTCTTAAACTGAGTTTTACTGTGCGTACTGTTGTACGTTTGTTTTTTCTACATTGGCTAGAGGTATAGGGGGAGGGTTGAGATCTCAAAAAATATGTTTAACCCCGCCACATTTTTGCGCCTGTCCCAAGTCAGGAGCCTCTGGCCTTTTGTTAGTCTTGTATCATTTTTAATTTTAGTTTCTTGTGTATAATTTGGAGTTTAGTAATGGTATGACGTCCATTATCACTGAAATAAAATACATATTTGTTTAGGGGCCAGCTGAAGGACACCTCCGGGTGCGGGAGTTTCTCGCTGCATTGAAGACCTATTGGTGGCCTTCAGCTGTTGTCTGCTCTATGGTTGGGTTGTTGTCTCTTTGACACATTCCCCATTTCCATTCTCAATTTTATCATATGTCTTATCATATGATTGCAAAATTATGAGACTATCCACCAACGTTCAGATGAAGTAGATGTACATGTATATTTATAATGTAAGCAATTATAGGCAATCATATGAACTTCAACAGTGAGAAAACCCTAAACTCATCAGGTCAATTATGAATACACAGCACTAAACAGGGTCTCTCCATATTCAGACACTCCACTAGTTTCAACACCCCATTGACGTATTTACACTTGTATGCAAATTTATCCATCATTACGTAAAATCGCACAGGTTCCCGCAAACTTTGACATCACAATTAAAAAAAATTGATGTCACAATTAAATCATGTAAATAGTGATTGCTGCTTGACGTCAGAAAGTTATTTGAAGCAGATTTAAGGTCATTTGGAGACCAAATTCAGCTAAATACCAAAAGTATAAATACGTTTATTGGTCCGACACCCCAATCATGCCAATAATAGTCTGACAAAGGAAGGTGCATTACTGCCGTTACAGAAAATCAATTCATAGAATCGTTGTTGGCGTGGTATTTGGACAACTCTTTCTTTTATAACTATGCCAAAGAAACAGAAACCGAGGGTACCATACAACCTATATGAATTTTATTAGATTGGGGTTTAGAGGAGTGTATTTTCCCATGGAAAACACTGTGTATAATAAGATCACCAGAGTTAATATGTTTACATTGTAAAAACATGAAAAAGAAAATGCAAAGAATGGTCCCCAGTAGTGCAGTCTGTCATCTTTCACGTAATTTTGTCTCGGAAATTGTCATTACTAAAAAATAATCATTTTACCCTGCAAAGGGACTATTTTATACCAAGAATGATTTTCATCTACACTGTACAAGTACTTATAGATAGAAAACTTTCAAAACTGAAAGTTGTCGAGCTGTTAAAGGGGCACTAGCTGTCAAATTCATGTTCACCGATTTGACTCAAATTCTCATATTAGATTTATAACAAATGTAAAACATTTATCCAAATTATAAAAAGTCTAAAATAAACAATTTACAGGGCATGGGCTTGATAATATGTAGCTTCGTTTCGTGTGTATTTTAGTCTAGACACCAACTTATTAACCAGTCAGCATGGTCAGAGATATAACTCTAAAGGGTTATTACAGAAAATAACTTGCGTGTGTTATTACAGATACTTTCATGAGTTGTCTACTCTTTATTCCTTATAAATTAAATTTTCTAAATCTGTAATAACATATGTTTGTTATTTGAAAAATAAATCAAAAATATTATAATTTATAGCGGGCTCTAGGTAACTCATGAGACTTTGCACAGAAACTAAATGCATAGCCTTGATAACCAGGATTCTCACTAAGGCGAGTCCATGAGTCCTGGACTCATGAAAATCTGTCTGGACTCACCATTTTCAAAACTGGTGAGTCCAAAGATGCATCAAGATTGAAATATTTGTATAAACTGAACACACAAATCATCATTTTATAGCAAAAGTTTAAAAATAATCTGAATTTAACGTCATTTTATTGCTCTATTAGGTCATGGAGACTAAAATGATACATTAAATTGCAATAAAATATCTTCTTCTTACTGTTGGACTCACCATGGCCAAAAATGACGATTCCCTGGACTCGCCTTCAAAAATCCTTAGTGAGAACCCTGATAACTAATATTTTAATCAAATTAATACATTTTTGATTAACAATGGTAAATCAATGAGACAAGGCTTTTAAGGGATAAACTTAGCTGTAATATCAAGGCTTAGTTATTAAAGGAATGTAACTAATTATGTGAAACACTTGGGAATTACTGGGAAGCTTGCGCAGAACCTCATTACATGCTCTGGTAATTATTTCTTACAATAAATTAAAATACATTGTAATTAAGCATGATGTATGTCTGAGCAAATGCTTTGGAGTGATACTGAGAAGCTGTGATAATGTACCCTTTAGTTATTACAGGCATATTTTTTTCTGTAATAACATAGGTGTGCAATGCAATATTGGCAAACTATGAACTGCTATATCTTTCTATAGTTAACATGGTTAAGTATACATAAAGGCAATAGTAATATCAATAGAACTTGTATACATTTTAATTAAACATGTTAAACTAATGATGTATATTGTCCCTTTGAAACACGTAACATACATATGTTATCACAGTTCTATGATTTTTTAGTCCACAATAACAAATGTTTGTTATTTTTCTGTAATAACCCTATAGAGTTATATCCCTGACTGTTAACTATTGAAAACAACCGACGGTCACATAACACGATATAAACATAAACATAAATATAAATAGATATATGGAATATGTGCAAACATGTTATGGCTCTGTATCGTGCCAGATCGCTACTGCTAGCCATCGAAACCGGAAGATATGCCAGGCTGCCAATTCCAGTTCTTAACAGACTTTGTGTGCTTTGTAAGAACAATTGTGTTGAATCTGAAAAACACTTCCTTTTTAATGTTCTCTTTATGATGACTTGACATGCTTGAGATGGCTTTTATTTTCTGAATGTTCAAATTATATTGAAAATTTTGCTATTTTAGACGATGATCAGAAATTAGTTGAATTGTCATCATGGTCATGAAATTCAAGCATTTCTTAAGCAAAAGTATTTTTAATTTTTTTTATGAGACGAATGTTAATTTTAGTTTAGATTATCGTTGATCATCTCAACGAGATTGATTTTCTCGCTTGAGCCTGTACGACAAAGTGAGAAAAGCAATCGAGTTGAGATGACCAATGATAATCTGTTTATCGCTATTTTACCTATGACCATGTTGTCAATTTCATGTCAATTTTATTAGCAACACCACGTGCCCCCTTAGTTTCTAGCGATAATTTTCATATCACTCGACTCCGCTGAGAAAAGAAATTATCAGTCAGCAAGATCAAAGTAAAATTTCGTAAAATAGCGTTAATAATTTTTTATAGTTTTAATACCGGTAACCTTTTTACTTTACTACTATTAAAGTCATGTAAAACATGTAAAATGTAATATTAAAATGAAATAAATAACAATAACTTTTATAAATATAATTTATTATTTTAATATAATAATGGAATTTATATTTATTTAAATGATAAATCTTTTTGAAATTGTACAACAAACTAATTTTAGGAAATGTTATATGTACATATATCATGTTGTTTGTATATATAAATGTGAAATGTTTTGTAAAAGTGTGTCTCATAAGCCAACTCAATGGCTGTGTATTGGTTGTTTTAATGACTAAATTATTATGTATATTTTTATTATGTCAATTGTATATATAATGTCTTGAATGTCATGAATGTACAATCAGTATGTGACACAATAATAAAATAAAATTTATTACTATTTATTATTGTATATACACAATGTATTACATGTATTATGGGTTCATGTAACACTTACATTGACTTGTCAATTTAAAGTTTTAAAAAGTTTTCAAATTTTATATTTTTGGAATTTTGATCAAAGTTTTAAAATATCAAAATTCCAAATTTTTTAAAAGTTTTGAAATTTTGAAATTTTGACCAAATAATTTTTAATTGCAAAATAAATAATCTAACGAAGAAGTCGGTTTTTTTTAAACAAATTTGACATCACATGAGATAACAGTATCCTGAAAATTTTAAGGTTTTGCATCTATTGAAAAAAAATGTAAACCTATTTAAACCAGCATCAAACATGTTGATTTACGTTTAAAAAAATCTCTTATATAAGCTTTATAGCGTGTCATATAAATAATTAAGACTCTACGACTTCTTACTTTTTGCAATCATGTTGGCAGATGAAATCATTGCATTTACATTTTGAACGATCATCTTTAACCTTTTATTCAACTATTTCAGTTCTTTTTAAATTGTTGGCCTTCAAATATTCGGCTTTGAGCGTTCCTGATGAAGGTAGATACAGAAAAAGCGATTCGGACACATGCAATTTTTAACATTTTGTTTTCATTTTTTATCGATTGCATGACGATCATATATTGCCTTGTATCAATGAACTCTTGGTGTAGCAACAGAGCTCTGGTGTAGCAATGCACGTTGTGCTAGCCTCAAATGTGGGTGGTTGTTGATATCTTTGTTATGCTGAATTTAAGAGTAAGATCAAATATTAGTAGCTTGGAGCCAGGATACTGTTATAAATTATTTACATAAACTCACCATAGATAGATACTAGGATGTAAATTTTGCATTTGCGCCAGACGCACGTTTCGTCTACAAAAGACTGATCAGTGATGCTCGAATCAAATTAAGTTAAA